CTTGTAGGGTTGCTTCTTGAACGCCATGTCAGTACTTATAGCTTGCTGCTGGTAACACCAAATCTCTCAAGTTTTTTATGAATATATCGGTGTGTTGGATTACCGCTGTGGTTCATTGCTCCTGTACTCTTATCTTGGCTAGAAGTTGAATTCTTATTTTCCTGATCCGAAGATAAATTACTTTGCAGGTGGCATATAGGTACATTGACTGTAGATGCTGATTTAGGTGAAGTATCTTGCTATCTAGATGGTAATTTTGATGGCTATCAGACAGGGCTACCACTGCATACTGGTAGTTGCGTATGGGAGCAAGGAACAGAGGTCTGGGTGGGTATACGACCACCTATTGATCTTGACGCATTTGGGAGGTCGGATAGTGAAGCAGCTGATTCTAAGATGCAGATAATGGATGTATTTCTTTGGGGAAGGTGCTTAACTGAAGATGAGATTGCCACTCTTCCTGGTGCAATTGTTACTGTAGAGTATAATATGATCAATCTATTAGATGATAATTTTCAATGGACAGATTCTCCAACTAGGGTCAGTGTTCTTTGTCCGAAAATTGTATATTGCGTATAGTGCAATTTCTTCCACATGCCCATTTTTCAATTTTTGCAAATAAAACGCCTACACATTCATTTCTGTTTGTCATTGATCTATTTTGATCTCTTATGTTCTCTCATTTAGGTCGATGACTGGGAGAGCGACCCTGCAGATGTTGTGGATTGGGACGGACAGTATTCAAGTGGGAGGAGAAGGAGATCTGAACGGGATGGTGTTGTTGTTTTGGATGTTGATTCGTTTACGAGAAGGTTGAGGAAACCATCATTGGAGACCCAGGAAGAAATGAATCAACGCATGCGCTCAGTTGAAATGGCTGTGAAGGAGGCTCTTTTGGCAAGGGGAGAATCCCAATTCACAGATGAAGAATTCCCCCCTGGTGACAGCTCATTATTTGTTGATCCAGATAACCCTCCTTCAAAACTGCAGGTGAGTTGCACTGGCAACAGTTTGGAATGGATTTTTTGGGCATGATTTCCATTTTCTGGAGCATGGCATATCCGTACAAACCTACTTTGGCAGAACTCACAATAAATTATGTTTGAAGGTTGTTGCTGCATGGATGAGGCCTATTGAAATAGTTGAAGATAATCAGCTTGTTTCTGGTCCGTGCCTGTTTTCTGGAGCAGCAAATTGTTCAGATGTATGCCAGGTTTTGCCAACAAAATAAACTAATTATGCTGTATTGCTATATAAAACTTGTGATCTTATCTATTTCCGAAGTCTTTCTTTGGACTTTCCCCTACAATTTCCTTTCCATGGAGACAAATCACTTGTGTGTTTGTGTGTGTATATTACCATATTAATGTTGCCACTAAAACATTTCAGGGACGACTGGGTGATTGTTGGTTTCTGAGTGCAGTTGCTGTTTTAACTG